AAGTTGACACTTGATCACAAACCCCTGGTACCACCATGCTATGCATCTTGGATGCCGCTACTTGCATTGTTTATTTTCTAGAAGATTTCACAATGCAAAGCTAAGTGCGAATTTTATTAAAAGGAATAGTCGCTGGCATATCTGCACGCAAGGACAAAGAAAAGATGTTTGTAATTATGAAACGTCATAAAGTTTCAGAGTAGATTACTTGTCAACATCATGAAACAATCTTATAATAGTGCATCATATTTTATTGGTTCCCAGACTACGAGAACGATTGGTTGCAAGTTTGGTAAGTATATTAATAGATTACTTTCAAGTTTTGTCATAATCAATCTTGTCTGAACCAAAACCTTAAATTAATCTTATTTTATTATATCACATTGTTATATTTGCGCACATTATATTTACCTACTTTATAATGACTCGCCTTCTACTATGAATATGTCGTATGTAAACTAAAATTTCTTACTAAAGACCCCAAAATAAAAACCGACCTTAACAATTCAGATTCCGTCGATAAATATTTGTGCTACCATAACTCTGAGCTCACACATCGCTCTATGACTTTTCACTCACTATGCCCACCCAGTCTCACCGATTCACTAAGAAGATATTCAGAGTTCCGGAACCACTATTATCAAGTCAATATGATAACGTATGCTTTGTATTAAACTTAGAATAATATTCGCAGTCATATAAGCTAAAAATCCCAAGTATGATTAAAATCGTATGATTAATAAGAATGACTTATGTTATCTTGCAAATAAATTTATCAATATCGATAACTGAAAAATGGGGTGACACTTAATTTTGGCAGACTCTACGTAAAACACACATGTGTTGTTATATTGACTTACAGGACATAGTAATAGTGATCTGAAACTCTGAATGTCTTCTAGTATAGTAAAACTGTTTAATTTGTGAGTTTGATGATAAACTGGAGTAAGCAATAATAGTGAGACCGGTGCAAGTCAAAGCGTAGGATCAGCGTGAGCTTAAAGACTAAGACGTTACATCATGTCTATTAAAAATGGCAAAAGTGTAATGTTTGGTAACGATAACAAATACAACTTGTTCTTTACCGATGGTATTTGAACATGATAACGGCGGGTTTTTTATTTTAGGAAACCTTGGTAAGAAATTTTTGGGACATTTGACGGTATTTACATGGCTACGGAATTTACGTACAACAGTCATATGCCAAAGTGTTGTCTGTCACATAATACAGTAATAGTATATCTCAAACAAAAACTTGATATTTAAATCTAAAGCGCTTGTTTTATTAATTTAGCTTTGACAGAATCACAAATACCGATAGACTCATTACGTAAAGTATAATCCACAACAGCGTTGAGGGGTAGCTTACAACAGTAATTGCAGTAAACCAGAAGCGAGCTATTATTTGTATACTTACGTAATAAACTGTGAGTGGGGGGCACGTCACGCAGTAAATCTAGGTAATCTTGGGGGAAGCTTATTCATGATCGGCGCTTTTACTTATAGGGGGTGGGTCTAAACATAACAAGAATTAAACCCGCTTGGAAACCACAGTACAGAACTTATTTTGTTTGTACTACCAAACGGCAATGATATTAAATCATTCGGATGACTCAAATTAATACAAACTTGTATAGTAAAGGAAACATACATAGCAATCGATTATGAAACCATAACTTAAAATTTACTTAACTCTATTTCCTTCAAACCGCAACACTTACTGATTGTAACTGTAAGCAAATTAAAAAACCTTTTAAAGTACATAACTATCTAAAATATTGATAATAGTCGCTGTTCGCATCGATTTTTCTATCAATTTTTTTTATAGTAGTTTATTAAACTATCGCTCTTTTCAATAGAGTTTGATCCGGAAATATCGCTGTCTAAGAAACTTTCTTGTGGGGTAACTTTTGCTGTATGAAGAAATTAGTATTGGTCAAAATAGTATCTGATACCCCTACAGTTTGATGACATATGGATTTCTTAAACATATTATTCAGTCATGTATTTGATTCAACAAATTCAAGTAAACATGAATCTTAATAAAGATTATGAAGAATTTCTTCATTCAATTGAGACACGCGCGCCATATATCAACTTTTATCTAACAGGGGAAAAAACCATACCTTGCTACAAATTATCCTCGATAGTTAGCAGAGCAAATTGTAGATGTTATAACCATGTATCAAATTTGATGTCTTATCGTGATCAAACTAATTAATGCTTCAGAGATAATCAGGTCTTTATTACTATATTAATATTATATAACCGATACGATTCTAATCTCTTTTCACATAACGGTTTGTGTCTAATTATTTATATTGATAACTGAATGAATACGATATTTCTATAAGTTACATATGACCGAACACATAAGTTAGGACAACAGTCATTGTCAGAAGATTGGCAAATAATTGCGTTTGTGTTTTGAAAGTGCCACTGTTGAATGTAGGGAGAGTGGTAGTGCTGCTGGTACCGCTGCCACTGCTACCGCTGCCACTGCTACCGCTGCCAGAACCGCTAGTACCACTTCCAGAGCCACCACCGCCGGTACCACTTCCAGAACCAGGTCCAGTACTATTGCCAGCACCGCTACCAGTACCACTGCCGGTGCCACTGCCAGTACCACTACCAGTACCGCTTCCAGTGCTATTGCCAGCACCGCCACCAGTACCACCGCCGCCACCGCCGCCACTAGAACTACATTGATAACCGGGAACACATTGTGTGCCATTGGGACAACATCCACCTTCACCGTCCGTACATGCGAAATATCCAGGACTGCAAGTGCCTCCAGTACCTCCTCCACCAGTACCTCCTCCACCAGTACCTCCTCCACCAGTACCTCCTCCACCAGTACCTCCTCCACCAGTACCTCCTCCGCCAGTACCTCCTCCACCAGTACCTCCTCCGCCAGTACCTCCTCCACCGCCTCCACTAGGAGGAACGCTTCCTGAACATGTGAAATCAGGATTACAAGTTTGGGTGGGGTAGCAGCAACCATTGGCGCCGCAGGGTATATCGCTACTAGTGCAGGGTATGTTGCATTTTCCACCAGCTAAACATGTCGAGCCCGTAGGGCAACAATAAACACCATCTGGACATGGAGAATAGCCTGCATCGGGACAGCCGTTACCAACAGCTAATATTATAAAATCAAAGCCTTTGTTCAAGCCAGTGAAGCCCCTTTTATCAAGATACGCAATAGGAAGAGCAGGAATTCTCGAGCTCGGGGCGTCGTCAGATAATACAGTGGAAGCAAAGGTTATTACAGTAAAGGCGAGTAATGGTGTTAGATTCTTCATGTTGAAACGTTGAAAGTAAGAATTGATGGAATTTCTTCCTAATGTAAAAATGAGGGACATAGCACGCTGTTTAAATAACAATTTTCAATTTCTACTTGCAATGTCGCACTACTTTTTGTGAATTATAAATTACGTGTTCGATAATCTCTGAAACCGGGTGAACAAATTTATTACTTCCAAAATTGTAAAAATAATGACGATTGATTACTGTGAAGCCTGTAATTCTATATATGCTGCAGGACAATAAATATTCTAAACAGTGAATCGCATGTGTGCACTTGTGTTAGTCTTTGTGATTGAGCACATTTATCGCTGTGCTTTCAACCTGCGTTCAACACAGTATTTATTTGTCAAGTAGAATATGTAATGGTCCACCACAGACTATTGATTGATAGTCAAAGATATAATGGTGGAATACTCACGATTGTTTTCGATTGATTGATTTTTGTACCGTTGGGAATGTCCATTACAAAACTGGGGGAGATTGTATTCATTAAATAAATTTTCAATCGACATCCTTTACATCATTTCTATAGATCGTATCAAGCCCAAGACGCTTAGGAGAGTTGACATTGTTGTTGGATATAGTTCAAAGTTCCAAGAATTCCAGATCCATAATAAGCATCAAGGCCGAAAACCTTGATCTTGTTATTGGTTGAATTTTTTGTGTAGTGTAGGAAAGCATTAATGCAGACATACATAAAAGGCAACACTTTGAATAAACGAGAAATTTCTTTATTGGACGCTAAGAATAAACCAATCATTTTCAGCTCGCATATTTCCCCGATCTTCCCAAATAACGGGGAAAATGTAAGACATTCATTGGCATTGATCTACTGTGTTACGAATATAATTTGTCTTTTAACATTCGATTTGATACCTTTTGATTCATCGGCATTGATCTACTGTATTACGAATATAATTTGTCTTTCAACATTCGATTCGATACCTTTTGTTTTTATATAGACAAACATTCACATTATTGCATAATTTGTGTCTTACTCAAGTTGATTGGTAATTGGTCACAAGCCCCCCTTGGTAATACCTATCTTTGATCTTATGCATTTTTGATTTGAAATACTGTTATTGGCGTAACATACAGCTTGACCACTGACAAACAAACGTCAACGCAACCAAAGACATTTACGTTTTCCTTTAAAATTGCGGCATAACCCCTATATGTCATAAAAAAAAAAAAAAGAAATAATCGCCAGCATGGTGGTAAAAATCCGTTCGTAAAGACTAAAACAGTAATTATTGCACGCCATTACGCTTTGAGCAGACCGTTACTTGTCAAATGGCTATTTTTAGCTTGCTCGCCAAGAACGTTTTCTACCAATAGCCTTTTGTAAGTATGACATTATAAAAAATTTCTTGTAATATTGTCTGAAGCTAAAGAATAGTTACTTTGTCGATGGTTAATTATTCTGTCACATTGTGAAAAATAACGGCGAGAATTTTTCAATTTTTGTTATGTAATAAATCTTGTTCACTGTCTACGTACGTTTTCTGTGTACTTTTTTTTTGAATTCCAACGATAATCGGACCGATTTTCTAAGAAAACGTCTATTTTACTTGTACATTAAATCAACGTATTATTTCTCACAGCCTTGTAAGTCTTTAAGTTAGGAGTTTACGATAAGCATTGTGATCAAAGCTTCTTTTTTCCACATACTCAAAGTTTTACGTTTTCATAAATGCGTCAATTTGCTCACTTATTACCAAGTCTTGAGAGCAGAGCATACCACAAGATATTGTTAGTTGCGCTTGTTTCTAGTGTGTATAGCAAGTTATTCTTGTAGAATATCAAACGCACAAGTGCGCCACATTTAAATTAAAGCTGTGGGTTAATTTTAAGCTCAGTTATCTGGTAATTGATAGATTCAAACGTTTTGCAACTTTAACAATGTTGTGCCTCTGTCTGGATCGAGTTGTTTTATCCACATTAAACAATTTATCATCTTTTATACTGAACGTTGAGCAAACACGTTTAAATTATCCATAATTAATTTACCTGTACGGATTATTTCTATTTTCTGTCAAATTGTTTATTTTGTAATATAATTGTACAAAAAACCCACTACTTTGTCAAGTCTACCACTATAAATCGTAATATTAATAATATAGGATATGAATTACTGCAGGTGTAAAAGACACGATCACATTATATATGACAGAACGCATAAATTGAGACGACAACGATTATTGCCAGAAGCTTGTTGGATAATTGCATCTCTGTTTTAGGAGCGACATTTTTAAAGAGCCCACTTCCGCCACCGCCACCGGAACTGCTTCCGCCACTTCCGCCACTTCCACTAGAGCCACTTCCGCCACTTCCGCCACTGCTGCCACTTCCACCACCAGCGCTTCCTGAACATGTGAAATCAGGTTGACAAGTTTGGCTGGGGTAGCAGCAACCATCGCCGCAAGTTATATCTGCAGAAGTGCAAGGTATGTCGCATTTTCCACCAGCTAAACATGTAGCGCCGGTAGGACAACAATAAACACCATCTGGACATGGAGAATAGCCTGCATCGGGACAGCCGTTACTGACAGCGAATTCTGTACCGGGGAAAGAAAGCGCTTTGACATTGCCGAAAGGTACCAAAGTTTCGTTTCTACTTTGCAGCCGAGATGATGTAGCGGAAGTAAAGGTTATTGTAGTAAGGGCGAAAAATAGCACGAAAATCTTCATGGTGAATGTTGAGTGGAAAATTAAATGCAATTATTATCTGGTAGGAATGGTCGTGGATACGTCTATCTTAAATAGAAATTTACGTTTAATGTTGCACTACAGTTGTGAGCCGAGCAATTGCCAAAACTGTGGTAATAAAGGATATCATAAAATTACGTGTATAATATCTTCTTTACTTTAAGCGGTGAGTTATATACACAATCGCCAGCATTTTATTTACTGCGGCTAGTAATCGAGAGTGTGCTTATCGACAGTGCAGGAATAGTTACACATAACTGCGTAAAACAATAAAAATAATATTGTCTGCAACGGTCTCTGATTTTTTTTTATACAAACGTTGTTATAAACAGATGAATAGTAAAAGCCGAATAAAAGTCTCTGATGAAATGCAAATTAGCTTCAAAGTCCAGGTCAATGAAAATTAACATTGTCGAAAAGAAAAAGCGTCAACATATTACAATTTAATATGTAGGGATAACTGCATTTGTATCGTAACTTGATTTGAAACTACCCCTGTGTACACTCGTGATGAAATGGCAAGAAACAAACCGCCCTAACAGACGAGTGAACCAGTATCGTACCATTTTGCTTATGCTAGATATGCGAACTGTTTCAGAAATGAAAGAATTATGGTTTATCTGTTGGGGTATTGACATCCATCTATTATCTGACATTTCCATTCTTGACGCAGTTTCTTGTGTCTGTTACTATAAACAAACAATAGTTACTCTTAACAGGTAAATTTAATAGTTTGGATGACAACTATTGGTACACTATAATTGTGTGTACAATCGTCAAATTGTCTCCGCATCGGGAATATGCATCACCCACCTGAATGCACAAACATGTCGGTACATATTCCCATTTCCCGTTTTACGAACATTGCACATTTTAACTATTCCCATTAAATCAGTATTTGCACTATCATCAATAACCTTCCGGCTAAGTATCGTATATGATTCCATTTTGTTGCATCATATAATGATGAAGGCTAAAAGTCTATTATATCGTATATGGTAAAGTACGCACATTGTACCATCTCATCTTTTCTTTCTCTGTTTCGGTAATTAGTTAAAACTGTTACTCACTCTTTTTCTTTTTCTAACTCCTTTTCCGCTTTTTTTCATTTTTCCTGTTATGCATTATCGTCATACATTTGCCCAACCATCACCTCCATATGCCGCAGCTTTTTTGTTCAATTATAATTTTCTTGATGACAAAACGTAATAAATAATACATTAAAAGTCTTCACTTTTTACTCCAATTAAAATCCATCTTGTAAATCGTTTGTCGATCGTTGTTGATTATTTTTCTTTATTCGCTAAAATGATCCAAGCTCGGTAATAATAAATAATGTTGGTTTGTCCAAATTTCGTCTCCCGCCGAAATATAAATTCCAAGAGCGAAATAAAAAAAAAAGGAAATACTATTATTAGAAATTAGGGCTGGGCTGGGCGTTACTGCATGCAGATAATCTATTTTGTGCTTACATTCGTTTCCTTTTTCGGTGATAAACACAAATATGATGTTTGTGTCCCACTTTTCATTACCCAAGTTAGACAATCAATCCAAATTTTGGATGGGGAAAAAGAAAATTGGAAACAGGAATAAGCGCTGGTAAGACCAATTACGTTTTTGCTTGTAAAACGTTTTTTTTTATCAGCTCGGACAATCGTACACCATATTAGAAATTTCTTGCTTAAAACAGAAATGCTTTTCGTACAAACCCAGAAACTTTCATTTATCCCTCAATAATGTAAGAACAATCGAACATTGTCTAATTTTTTGCTTCATTACCAATTCTGCACAGCAGTCATAAGTATCCGAACGACCCCAAATTGGGACACGATTTGCCTGCGATGTATAATAATTTATAAAATTGTCAGTTCGGTCAGATATCTCCACTAACATATACATCAACCGCATGATGCATAAACTTTAAATATCCATATCTCCACATGCTTTCTAATCGCTTGCATGCATAATTTTTTTTGTTTTGCTTGCCAAATTTGTGTCTATACGTTTCTTGAATATGTGGTCTGAATTAAATGAAAATCGTTACTATAATTGCCAATCAATCCTTATAAATTGCGGTATATGATGCAAAAGAGCAATTCGGTTGGAAATAAATTTGAAATTGTTATAGCCACAATTGCGTATATGGGTATATAGATAAATTTTTGATGTTTGGAGAATTTGCTCGATTGCATCTGAAAGTTTACAGATGACCAAGTTATTACGCATTATACATCGCGGGGAAATTTTCAAAGTCGTTTGCTCATTGCGTGTGCCAAATTTGGAATCGTTCAAATACTTATGACTGCTGTTGTACAATAATACATTATTATTACGATTTGATTTATGTATTAACAAACTAACCATAATAATATCAATTTTTTTGAATATAACATTATACAATAAACAAAACAATTAATGTCAACATTTTTTCATTCTAGAGACAATTAGATGGACAACAACAATAGTGTATATCAACTCCGCATATGGAATAGCACCTCCAACTCATAATCACATAATTATAAATATAAACTAATCGATCGTTATGGTATTGGAATTTTGGAATCAGTTAAAACTCACACATTATATAGCCGTAAAAAGTTTATCGCATACGGAATTATCTGCACTATTTTTGTCAAAAATAACTATCTAAATTTTACCCAACGTAAATATAACAGCCAATACAAATAACAAGGCTCATCTATCTTGACCAGGGGAGACGATCATTTCGTCGACAATCATTTCACCGACAATTATTTCACCGACAAATGTTCACCAACATTATTTCAAAATTATCCTTTTTAGGTAATAAATTGTCGGCGAAATGAACTGTCGGTGAAATAATTGTCGGTGAAATGATACGGACCCCTTGACCAGCCGCTGTTTACATACTCGAAATTAAAACAGAATAACGTATTTATAGCGAATGGCATATTCCTTAACTTTGCCAATTTGTGGTTGCATCGACGTTTACGTCCTGAAAAGAATATTATGGTGGCTCGTAACGACTATGTTTGCGTCAGAAATAACATACAGTGACAGTGACTAACCCAATGGCAGGGCAGGCATGCAGTTGATGAATAAAAGTTAAACTTTTATTAAATTTAATTACAAATATATGGTAATTATCAATTTTTATTACCAAATAAAAACGCTATTCAACATGCAAGTTTTAACTTACATTACTATAATTTGAATTTAAATAGCAGTAAACTTTATTTTAACAAAGGCATTTGTTTTGCAAAATTTCATAACAGTTTACGTATTTTCGTCAACACAAATGTCGATCTTATTCTGACACACTCATTTCTTAAGATTAAGTGTAATCTGTAAATTCTTGGTTGTCTTTTTTTAATCTTGCAGAATTATTCTAAAAACTATTTATTGCTTGTCATAGATTGAGCTTATGATTCTGATTGATTAATAGTATAACAAAACTCTGTTATATTATAACAACTTTGCTATACCAATAAATTGCTCAAGTAAATGAATTTATTATGTTATAGTTTTATTGAAAACTTTGCTCAACGTTATACAGCGCGTTAGATACAAATTTTCGAAATTATTTAGTTAAAAATAAACAGGAATTTTGTTGTGTGTAAAATATACAGTGCACAAAAAAAGTAATGAGAATTCGATGTATTTTTATTCATAGAGCAGGAATAAAATATCCAAATTTAATGAAATTTTAATGGTTACCTCTCTATAATGTAGTGGACGCATTCACATAAGGCTGTACGGTAATATGCATTATTAAAATTGGTCATGTTTTGATTTATCCCAAACTGCAATAAAATAATAGCAAAACTTTGTCTTTTTTTTTGAAACACATAATTGAGATCAATATCAATATGCCATTAGACAATCAAGCTTTATTCACACTTGTCCCTACTGTCTTAAATAATGTACATGTTACATTTTACATCGATTGGGTAATTATTCATTGCGTAGTAACTAAACGGATGGTTAAATTCTTCTAATTTCACTATATTTATTTTTTATATTATTATTTTAAACCGTTACGACAAATTTTGAGCCAATAATTACAACTAGATCTTCGGGATTTTAACCCTCTTTCAGAATTTGGAATCAGATTTCCCTTCCACGGAATTGAACAAGCATCTCAATTTTGTCCCAAGGA